TTAAACTGCTGCAAATAAATTAGTAGGTGTTTAAATCGCTGCAGTAGGTCATAAAAAGTGCTGCGAAAGCTTATTTTTTTAGTAGTTTAAAGAATTGATTTGTTAAACTAAACTACCTATTGAGTTTTCACCTTCTTCAACATTCTTCGTGCTTAAAGAATTTGGAGAACTTGTTCAAAAAATAGTGAAAATTAGGAAGAATGATATGTATCATTTGATGTTTTACTTATAAAGCTTATTATGATATTGTCAATTACTAGAGCAACAATTGAACGAACATTTTCTACAATGAATATTATAATGAATCGTTTATGCAATCATATGAGAAACTTTAGGATGAATGATTGTTTACTTTCTTTTATTGAAATTGATATATTTAAAAGTATTGATAATGATTTGGTTGTACAATAATTTCAAAAAATGAAGATTCGACGGAAAATATTATAGATCATAGATAATAAGGATCTCAAGATTTAGTGTTCTCAATTGTAAGTTTTTTTTTTTTGCTTTATTATATATTTTATCATTTTATCATTTTATAATGAATCTAATGATTTAAATAAAAATTTAAAACCGCCTATGCTGGTGCCAATCCCGAATGAAAAATATTGAGAGTTTTTTTACTTCAATAATTTGTGTCTCGACATGAAAAAAATTCTGGCTCTGTCCCTGACTCCACCAATTTGTTCGATTCTTACCAATTAAAAAAGATAGGCCAACAGAAAATATTCATCCAATTAGGCACTACTTTTGATACCATGTTTGAATTGAATTTTTTTATGATAAATTTGTGATCATCTGAACTTCGATTGTAGTAATTTATAGTCTGAACAAATATTTTCATGAAACGAGCTCTATAGCATCAAAATTATTCGGATCCAAGTCCATATTTGCTCAAATCAAGTATTTGGAGTATAGTTGAAATTTTCATGATACTATTATGGAGAAAATGATATCTAAATTTTAGATGCTCCCAGTCAAAATGTTTATGTTGATGAGAAAAATTCAATGAGATCAAAATCAATCAATATTGATTAGGGGTGTCAAATTGGGTCAACGAGGCATATTGGGTCCAACTCGACCATGTCAATAAATTAAACGCGAACCCGACCTATTAATAACTTCTGATTAAAAAAAATTAGTAGCTTATTAATCATAGATTTTTGATTAATTTATCATAAATAAAAAGATTATATACAATAAATTAAAATTTTAAGAAAAAAATATTAATTGGATCAATTTTAGGTCAAAATATGGTTGGCGGGCCAACTTGAATTCAACCCATTTACTAAACATGTCAGAATACACCACTTGAATCCAATCCATTTATTAAACGAGTTAAATTGAACTCGGCCCGTTTATAAAATGGGTCAACTCAAAACTGAATTTTTCGATTTGAGTTGACGGGTAGGGTCATTTATTGACACCTCTAATATTGATGTCAGTTAAGTACTTAAATACTAAGGAAATAATCTAAGATCAAAAGAATCAACACTAGTAATCTCATTTAATTTGACTAAAATCATCAAAATGACATTCCAAAAAATTGTAAGTTGATTTTTATGCTCTAATATTAAAGAGAAATTAAAAATCTAACACAGAATAAAATTATGAAATGATGTGTATAGGTAAGAAGCAATGGGCATCATTCATGAGAATTATCAAGGTTTATTCTTCTCTTTCCTGATTATAGTTAATTTGTCATAGGTTTTGTGGTCAATCAGATATCTAAATAAACAGTGTTTTTTATAAAAAATATTAACAAATTACTCAAAAACATTTTTTTTTAAACTCAAATGAATTAAATCATATTAAGATTGATACATCATAAAAAATTATCTTGACCGAGCTCGAATCTCGAGGCAATATAATCTTGAAAACTTCTGAAAGTAAAATTAGGATCATCCTAACACCAATTTTGGCAAACTTGTAGTCAAACTGATCGTCTCGAAAATAAGAACCCAATGACACCAAATTCGACTCAATTCGAGCCCAAATGAGTTCAAATCAAGGACTTGTAGCGTTGTTAAAAGGTTCAAATCACAATTTAGATTACCAAACAAATTTAAAACTTGACATGCTTATAGTTGAATCGAGCGGCTCGGCGAGACGAATCCAACAAGCCCAAAATCTTTGAATTCTGATATCACTAAGACATTCAAATGTCCAACAAACAATTCATGATCAAGCATCAGCCATCCATATAAACCACTCCCGAAATACCCTTAATCCTTTTTACAGGTCATGCCACTCTAAAAAAATTATAAATAGAACCCTCTTTCTCGTGAGAGGGGACCCCAAGCAAGAGAGCAAGAGAGAGATTGGTGATCGCTCTTGCCATCTAGCTTATCCTCAACCATCGGCCCGGAGTTCTACCAGACCGGCCACTACCTAACACCGGAGTTCTACCGGACCACTGTCCGACGCCCGGAGTTCTGCCAGACCACTGTATGACACCTGAAGTTCTGTCGGACCACCGTATGACACCCGGAGTTCTATTGAACCACTGCCCGGTGCCCGGAGTTTTGCCGGACCACTGCCAGACGCCAAAGTTCTGTCGGACCACCATATGATTCCCGAAGTTTTGCCGGACCACTATCTGATGCCGGACTTCCGTCAGACCACCAAGTAACACCTGACTTCCATCGATCTAACCCCTGTTTGTCACTTTAATTCAACTATACAGTTGACATTTGTAATCTAATCGTTCTCAAGGACGAGTCAACCCACACTACTCTAGTCAAATTATAGTGGAATCACTTTCAACTGGGCTAAGCCCCATGAGTTTTTCTTTTTCCAGGGTTTTCCAGATAAAAAAATCTTGTATTCTCTGTGTGTGAGCTGGATATCCATAAAACGCTAAGACATAATATTATAAGTTTATAACTCTATCGCCGCATATATTCTAGCCCGCAATAAGGATTTATAAATTTTTTACTAAAAATTATTTTAAAAAATAGTAATAAAATTATGTCAAACGAAATCTAAATCGTATAAGATCCGAATTCTTTTTTAATAAAATAAAATAATCCAGTTGATAACCGGAGCAAACCGTCATTTTGTTGGCAATTTCACATTGGAAGTTGTTACTCTTCTTCCGTCACCTCTTCCAGTTCCAGCCAGTGAACACCGATGTCCTGTTACTTTCTTGCCATCTCAAACGCTCAGCTAGTTCATACTTATCTCTAATGAATCATTTCATAAAATAAATTTTCTTGGACTGATCATCTTCTTATATCATAAAAATTTCTTTGAAACCAGTTTAAATTAATGTATTAAAAATTATTTTTTTATTAGATTTAAATAAAAATTTGAATCTTAATAAGATATAATAGAGAAAAAAATAATCATATTAACCGACCAAGCATAATGAGATAAATACTTAATATTTTTATTATTGTTGTTCTAGGACTGATCTTCTAATTATTTTAAGAAATCTAAGAGAAATATTAGTGACGGAGATATGGAGTAATGGGCCCTCTGAAAGAGGAGAAATTATTCTGTGCGGACACCAGACGGTTCGGAGATTAATCAGAACGCGTCATGTCACCCAGTATCGAGCGCCGACACAGAGCAAAAAAATGACGTGACTCGTTCTAGTTGATCTTTAAACGCCGTCCGGTGTCCTCACAGAATATTTTTTCATGAACTAGAAACTGATTATGATTGGCTTCTCCCTATTTTTTGGTGGGCTCTTTTTGTATTATATTATGAATTTTTTATATAATTTCTTATACATTTTGCCTTCTGACTAAGATTCCCAATTACCTAGATTTGATTTAACTTTCTTATGTAATTATTATTATTTTTTTAATATGAAACGTAATGACTCAAATATAATATTTTCCGTCTCGTCACAAAAGTGTATCTTATCCATTATTAATCTATGGGTTTAGACTTATAATTAATTACTTCATCTAATTTAATTAAGAAGCCCAACGACAAAATAATCAACTTCTTCAAATTCAGAGAACAAATGACTTCAGAGTTACAGCGCGCTGTTAAACTTCCCACCAACTTTTCACCAGCTCCATATAAACAATCTGCCCGGACAATGCTGAGGCCATCTCCAATTGAAAAAAATTATTACATGCGGCGTCGGAAAGTTAATTCGGATGCGCTACGTCACTCAATACATAATGCATTGAGTGATGTGACGCATCCGAATTGGTCTTCAAAAATGTTCGAACTCTACATGTAATAATCCCTCCTCCAACCGAAGGCTGAATGAGCATTTGCCGCCCTCCGCCAGCTCCACCTGAACGTGAATTTCAGCAGCATTCTTGCGATGTCAGTAGTTGGTGCCGCACTATTCACAAACACCATTTTCTTAGATAAATATAAATTTATGATTAGAAATAAATATTAAAAATATGAGAAATAATATACATAATATTTTTTTATTTGTTAAGAAATAAAGTTTGATGGGAGATGAGTTACTATTTCATGCGACTATTATTTTATTTTTAAATGGATACTGAGTTTTTTTTTCCGTTGAAGATGTTTGTCATTCGAATAAAATAGAAAAAAATAAAATGTTCAACTGGGGGATGATTATAAAGTAGGTTAGCTAATTACGTCTGGATACCTAAGAGCTTCCGCACATATATATATCTTGACTGGCCTTCTAAATTTATTGTTTGTGTAGAGAGCTTTCAATCTCCATTAATGGCGTGCAGGTTTCTTCTGCTTTTAGAGCTCACCACCATTCTTGCCCTTCTGGTCTTACCTTGCGAAGCCACCACATACATGGTAGGTGACTTGGCCGGCTGGGATACAAGCGCAGATCTCTCTTCATGGCCAGCGACAAAGCATTTCTACGTCGGCGATGCTTTATGTAAGCTTCTGATCATCTCTTTCATTTTTATATATTTGAATCACATGAACCTATGAGTTTAGCTTGAAATATTAAAATTAGACATCACTTATATATAGAATTAAGTTTAAGAGTTTGAAGTTGGATTTGATGATTGATGTATTTATCTCAACTTTGATTGTGATTAATTTGGTTAATTAACTCATGAAATGATTTTAAAGATAATGATCTGGCTGTGATTTGGTGGTTTAAGCGATTTGTGGCTCCTATGAATCTTAATTGGCTGTTTCTTCATCATGTGTAAAATTCAAAGGGTGCGTGCATGAGACTCTTACAATAGATTCATGTAATTCAATGGCCTTTTAGGCTTTGTTTGAGACGGCTTTCTCTAAAATTTTTATATTAGAAAGTTGTTTTAAAAAGTAAAAAGAAAGCCGTTCCAAACGAAGCCTTAATGCATGATTCTTGATTAAATGATTTGTTTGAAACGACTTTTTTACTATTTCTTAAAGTAACTTTCTAAAACAAAATTTTTAATTTTGTATTTTTAAGCTGCTTTAAGAAGTAGCAAAAAAGCCGTTTCAAACAAAACCTAAAAGTCATGTTTATGAGGAGATTGTTAAGTCATGTGAAATTTTGGATTTAGGCTTTGTTTGGGACGGGTTTTTTAATGTTTTCTAATAAAAAAATATGTACTTCAAGATTTTTTTATATTAAAAAGCTGTCTTAGAAAATAATAAAATAATAGTTTCAAACTAAGCCCGATGACTTTCTTTATGTTTCTTAAAACGGTTTTTTAGTACAAAAATTAAATATTTTGTACTAAAAAATCATATTAAGAAGTAGTAAGAAAACAATTTCAAACAAAACCTTAGTCTTGCACTGAGACACTACACACTAAAAATTATATATATATATATATATATATATATATATTCTCCGATGTTGAAAAACTGGTGAATTTTTACGTTAATTTTCATCCAAACAAATAACTTCTCAAAGATGAATGCCTCTTCATGCCTCAGTGTTCCAATATTCTCAGTACCACAACGTCAATGAAGTAGACAAGGAAGGCTACAGAAACTGCAACGCTTCAAACGCTATACTAACGAGCTCTAATGGCAACACTTCTGTTACCCTCACCACCACTGGCGAGAAGTATTTCATATGTGGAGTTCTCTCTCACTGTTTAGGAGGAATGAAGCTTCAAATTAAAGTTTTGTCTAAATTTACTTCAGCGCCACCGCCGCAGCCGCCGTCGCCGCCGCGGTTTCCTTCGCCGCCGTGGTTGCCGCAGTTTCCTTCGCCGCCATCACTGCAGTCTCCTTCGCCGCCGTCGCTGCAGTTTCCTTCACCGCCATCGCGGCAGTCTCCTTCGCCGCCGTCGCCGACGTTCTCTCCTAGGACTCCTTCAACTACGCCCTCAAGTCCGTCGTTAGGGAACATTGTCGACGGTCTATTTCCTCAGGCAAACGGCTCTTTGCATGGCTTAAGGTGTAATTTGTTCTTGGTTTTGTGTTACTGTATTGGAGGTTTATTTTGGATTTTATTTTAGAAAGTTTAAATAAAATGTTAAAAGTTATATTAAATGCTGCATCATTTTTAATTAGATTAATGGATACTTAAAGATATGGACAAAATGAGTTGAGAATATTTTTGAGCTAATTTTTATTCAGGATGAAGGATTGTTTAATTGAAAGATATTTTTAATCAAATTAAAGAAATTTATTTTTATTTTGCTAAATCATGATTCAAATAATTGTTTTTAAAAAGAAAAAAAAATCTTCACTTTATAGAAAAGGGGTAATTTTCTAATAATTAAAAAAAAAACTTTTATCAAAAGGGAAAATTGATTTTTTTTTAGATAATATGCTCAAAAGTTCGAACTAAAATATACTTATTTTTTTTTTTATTGCAGAGTTATTATTTAAAACCCCTTTAAAGACATGACAATTATTAATAATAACTTATTTATGGTTATTGGATATTAGATCAAATAATTTTAAAATTAAAAATGTTATAATAAATCAGAGATTTTGATCTTGCATTCTAAGATCATGACATCTGATATATCATAAAAAAATTATCTTGATCGGCCATGAATCTTGAGGCAAAAGGAAGAGAGAAAAATTATAGTTCTCTTGCAACTAGACATCTCGATTACCGTCGGATTTCTGCCTGGCCACCTATTATCGTCAGACTTCCGCCTGGCCACTGACTGACGCCAGATTTCAGCCCGGCTACCAACTGACGCTGGACTTCTGTCCGGCCAGCGACTGATGTTGGAATTCCGCTCAATCACTGAACATCCCCGGGCTTCTATCCAATCTCCATTCATCACTAGAGTTCAACCTGACGATTGATTATTATAATATGATCGTTCTTAATTCAAGAACGTTTCAGTCACCTATAATCTTCTTAAAAACTAGTGGAATCATTTTAATTAGATGTGACCCCGTGGTTTTTCTCTTTTTTAGGTTTTCCACATAAAAAAAATCTTGTATTCTCTATTTGTGTGCTAGATATCCATATAAAATTATGACATAAAATTCTAACTCTATCACCGCATATATTCTAGCCCACAACACATCAAAAGCTAATGTTACGAGATTTTGATATTGTTAAGAGAATTGAACAATCAACTCATTTGCTCTATGAATAGTTACCTCATTTATAAATAGTCCCGTTAAGGAGATCGTTTGGGATCTGGGCCAAAGAAACCATCCTTGATGGAAAGAAAGAATAAAAATATTCATAGAAGAGAAAGGAGCTCGGGTGAAAGGAGGAAGAGGCTCAAGTTACTGTTGCTATATATAGAGGAGAACGATAGAAGCTTGCTTCAATGAAGAAACTGAAGCCTAGAGAATAAAAAAAGAGAAGGAAGTTATCACACAGTTCTTTGTCATCTCAAGATGGGAAGACCAGAGGGAAGCTTATTCCTTGCGTTGCTTATTTTCTTCTTAATTTGTGATAATAGTAAGGAGATTTATCTTTCTTGCTCTATTATCATCAATGTGATAGCCTTCATACATCCCCCAAATATATTTAACAATTTGATCATTATATTTTAAAGCATAGTTAAAATTATGTGCAACTAAGGACATTGGCTTGATTTGAGTCAAATCAAATAAATGTTGATAATTTTTTTATTGCTTTATTTTATAGTCTCTTAATTTATAGTCCATCGTTTTCAATATTGATGTTGTCCCTTTATGATATTTGCATCGCCTTTTCCTAATAATATTGATAAGTCGCCAAAAATTGTCTTGATTAAACATGAATCTCGAAGCATATTGGCAACCTCCAATATTAAATTCAAGACCATTTGAATTCCAATTTCACCAAACTTAGAGTAAAATCAAACATCTCAGTGAGACGAAGCCAACAACACAAATCGGTCCAATCCGAACCCAAATGAGCTCAAATCAAGGACTTAAAAGTTAAAACATATTTGGAAGCTCAAAAGGATTAATTAGATGACTAATATCTATCCAAATATGGTATGCTTACAGTCGAATTTAGCATCTCAACGAGACAAATCCAACAAGCCTAAGATCGCTTCATTATGACATCATTAAGGCACTTAAATGTTGATTAAATATTTCATAATTGAGGAAAACAATATTAGTCGTTCGATAGAGCACTCTAAATTTTCTTCAGAACTTCTCAATATTTACAGAGCATGTCATTCTCAAAATCTATAAATAGTTGTTCTCACATGAGAAGGGGTTGGATCTTGGGAGGCTTAAATATAGGCTAGAGACTCAAGAGAGTTGTGAATTTGAAGAATCTTGGAGCTCTACCTTGGCACCACCACTAGTGAACCCTTTCCTCCCAGCCACCATAGTTGGACCTCTATCTAACCATCATCATACAACTACGATCATTCCAACCCTCGTCACCTGTTGACTACGATCCCTCTGACCTCCAATGCTCACCAACTATTGTCATTCTAACCACCGACGCAGGACTACAGTCCTTGCGACTTCATCACCAGTCAACTATAGTCCCTCCGACCACTGTTGCCCGATGACGATCCTTTTGACCTCCTTCGCCCGTCGACCATGATCCCTCCGACCACCATCACATGACTACGATCCTTCCAACCTCTTTCATCCGTTGATTATGATCCATCCGACCACCATAGCTCATCTACGATCCCTTCGACCACCGTGGCCCGAATACGATCCCTGCCACCATCATTGCCTGACTAAAATCCCTCCAACCTCGATCACCTAAGTATGATTCCTCTAACCATAGTCACCCACTGGCAATGTTCCCTCCGACCTATGTCGCCCAACTACGGTCCTACCGACCAAATGAATATGCCAACATCCTGTTGAGAACAACTCTTATGTCATTGGATTATACCAACTCCAACTATGTAATGTGATATATATATATATATATATATATATATATATATATATATGATGCGTATTTGCTCTATTGAGTCAATGTCTTCCCCCGAGAAAGAGCATCTCTTGTAATTAAGAACAAATACTAATGAATTCATTTCAACATAGCTAGGCCCTATGATTTTTCCCCTTTTTCAGAATTTTTCACATATTATAATTACTCTACCCCTCTCTCTTATCTATATGTGTATTAGATCTTCGTACAAAACTAAAACATTAAACTCACCATCTCTCTAATGTTCTAGAACACAACAAATATAAACAATGAAATTCAAAATTCACCTTACTCTTGATAAAAGGAATTTCACTTGTCAGGATCTAGAGATTGACAGGTCTAAAAGAAACTATGATCTGAGATATTTCAAGAGTGGCTAAAGCAACGAAGTAAGGAATGAAAGTAGAACACAACACATAGAATCATAAGAACTACATCCCTTATAGATAAGACGAGGAAATTAGCCTACAGATTCGAAATTATGCAAGGTTCCCTCTAACATCACTCTTATTTTCAATACTCGTTTATGAATATTTTAAGAATGGCTTTTAAAGTGACTTGTATAATCCTTAAAAATCGTTCAAGCCTCAAATGCAATCTCAACATATATGTGACAATCGAAAACCTCCACATAAGCAACCTCAGCTTGGAAAACTTCTAATTCTCCATGGAAAGGCAAATTATTACGTCCGGTGTCCGGATTCGTCCGGACACCAATCCAGACGCACCACATCACCCAAATACATCGGGCCCCAGTGTATTTGGATGACCTGACACGTCCGGATTGGATGACCGGACATCCGGTGACCGGACGTAATAATTCGCCCCATGAAAAAGCTTTTAACGTGACAACATATTTGTTTGTGTAATAGTGACAAAACATACATTATTATAATCAATCGATGCAAATGTGCTCTCACAATTTTTGATTTTTTTTTATATATTTATAATAACATCATCTTGGAAGATAGATCATCATTAATAACTATTTTTAAGATGATCTACAATCATGTTGACATCAAAGCTAGTTAGATTAGTAATTAAATTTATTGTTAATTATGATAATTACGGTTGTAACACATCATGTTCAACCTAATAAGAGGATAGACAAGTTGACTTACAAGATGAGTGTTAAGCATCAATGGCGGCCAAATATTACACTACAGGAAAATAATTGGCGATTGGTCTGCCAGAAATTCTAGCTGAAAAATTCCACCGAGATTTTCGCCGGTGATTAATTGATGCATCATTTTTTTCCATCGAAATTCGTAGTTGGAGAACTTACTTAATTTATGAGGAATTTTTCGTGCCCCACCCCTGCTTCTTCATTTATTTTCACATCCTTCCTCTCAAAATTGAGGTTTCTCCAGCTCTGCCCCCACCGCCATTCCAGTTGATTTTTTGTTTATTTTTTCCTATTTCTTTTAGAGTTAAAAGGTAAAACTTGTTCTCTTTGCTCATTCTTTTTTTAGAAAATTTGAACCGTTAGAACCCATGAATTCGATATATTTCAAACTTAGAATTTTATGGAGTGAATAATCATTGAGTTTTTCTTACTCATGTGGGTTTACTTTTGGTGCTATAGAAATGAGTTTACCTTTCCGTAGGTGGCATCCTTTATTGTTCTTATATTAGTAGTTGTGTGGAGAATGTTCTCCATATTGCCATAGACAAACATGAAGGCTTTGACTGTGAATCATTTGATAAATATCATGTTTGTCTTAAAGAGATGAAATAAATTTTTATTTAGTAATTTCAAATATAGTGCATTTATATTTCATCAAATAAATAGTAAATAAGAGCAAGTTTAAAGCTTGGTCTTATTATTACATGTGATATTCAGAGAGTTTAACTATCTCATGATTAAGATAAACTTGTTGATGTGAATGGTGATAGAAGCTACTTGTGTTTATATATACCATATAATAAAGGACTTTTATGGATGTTCAATTGCACTTTAATGATGACTATTACAATGATCATATTGAGGATGTTGAATGTGACAATTATATTAAGGGATATGAGCTATCAAATCTCACAAATTGTAATCAATTGATTTGGACAGCACTAAACCTTTACATTACTAAATAGATCTTTAATAGTGGATATTAGAGCTCTTGTTGTAGTAGCCCATGATAATACATATTTTCTAAAATTATTTTATTTTTAGGCTATTAATTCGAGGTTTATATGAATACCTAAGAGGAGAGGTGTTGGATGTGTAATAGAATGTTACTAGGATGAAAAGCACTTATAGATGAATTTATTGAGTGATGTTAACGACCTTCATTTACGTTAGATAGAATATTGAGATGTTCATGTTCGAAGCAAAAAAAAAAAAAGCTTATCTTAAACCCGAAGAGGTTAAATTTGATTTTTATCGTAAGGAATTTGTCCCATGATATTGGTTTTGGACCTCACATGTAGAGTATGAGTCATGTACAAATACTCATTGCGGTCTCTCTACAACTTCAAGAACAGTAGGAAAAGATTAAATTAATAAAATGCATGAAAAACTTATTTTTGATGCAGCGGGTTCGAATTAAGAGGACACATGAAAGAGTTACCTCTGAGTTCACTAAGAAGAGATAGCATAAGAAACAAAATAGAGCATGTAACTGTTGGAGTTTATGAAGCTCTCTTCATATAGGTGGTTCAATGCCTCATATTGAGCTTAGATGAAGACTGGTAAATGATTCCTCTTATTTCACATATATGTTTATTATTTTAACTATGTTCTCTTGCATAAAGAGGTACTTGGTCGAAAGTCTACAGTGTTACAGCGGTATACACGAACACACTAATGCCAAGTTTATCATCAGTGGGTGAGAAGGCGAATAAAGCTTATGTGAGTATCAAAATTTTAATGGTGATCATAAATAATATGAAATAGAAATGGATTTCCATAGACTAAATCTCTCGTAGGATGATTTTATACGATTTCGGAAGAGTAGGTCTTTGTTGCTGAGAGGTTATCGTCAAGATAGATGCAACCCTTCGAGTACCACACATGATCACATAGTTGGAGGGAGGCAAAAGGGAAGGGTGTATAGATTAGGTTCCCATGCATATGCATATCAAATAAATCCATCAACCTCAACATCATTTGGTGATGGTGAAGCTGAAGATATCATCAACTAAAGGGTGCCTGTTCTTACTAAAGAGATAAAGAAGATGAGACAAATATAGGAAAGCATACTGACACAATAGTTCAAGATGCAAGCAGAACTATGATCATACCTAAGCCAAAATCGAAAGAAAAGGATCAGCAGCCTGAGCCTGAGTTTTAGGGGAGTGAAAAGATTGAAGATGGTTAGAATAGATTTTTACATATACAGAAAAATATTTTCAATTTTCAATGTAAATTGTTAATGATATTTGGAGAAATTATTCCGAATGTCTGTAAAGATGACATTATTGAAAGATTTATATTGAACAATTTCTATTTACAACGATTACAATTTGAATTTTGTTAGATTTATATTTTAAATGGTTTGAACTACATTATTATTAGCATTGTTATATCATGATGGAATGTTTATTGTAATATATATGTATAAATTGTTGTAGGCTGAGCTTTGTTAATTATTTCAATGAAACAATGAAGGGTTGCAATTTTTTTTTAATATGCTATAGGATTTCTTATGGAAGATTTCTGACAGAATTTTCACTGGCCGGAAATCCTCGATATAGCACCGACAAATAGAACGTTCAAAGCTGCTTTAAGAAATGGTGAGAAAGCCGTCCCGAACGTAGCCTAACTCAATTGTCCCTCAAATATGAGAGACTAGATGACCAGGAATATTAAGAATAATGTCATTAGTCTACGGCCAACATCAGATGCCAATATTAGTCAACGAATAATGTCATATAAAGACTTGAAATTCTCTCCACCACATGAATTCATTACAATATGACTTGTAAATTTATGAGAAAACATCCTAATTGTTTTTGACATAAATCAGGATACATCAAATGAAAATTTTTATAATACTTCTACCTGCTTGATATACAGTAATTTGAACTTGAATTCAAACATTGTTAAAATCATCAAGTTCTTCACATTGAACCTCACTACTACCCAAATAGCAACTCTAAATCTACGTAAAATTGAGTTCAAATGATCAAAAAATCAACTTTTGATGTATTTAATACAAATACCTCAAATGTTAATATTTAAAAATTACATCAAAATTCACATTCATAAACGAATTTTCTAATAGGATATCAACTACATTCTTCTATATAAGAAATGCAAACTAACTATTCTTTTAGATGCATTGTTGGATATTTCGATAATATTTACTGATCATCAGAAACCAACATGACAGTGTTCATACACAAATTGGAAGAGCCTGAGAGACCGCAATCCAGCGTTCTTGTAAAGAACACGATTGCTGATCCGTGTAAATTCAAAACATAGCAAACACATCAGTTATCACAAGGCCAAGATTATCTTGCAAACCTACCTCACATGTGAAGCTATACACTTCTTGGCCTAAATGAGCTCACTTTAGTTGCATGATTAGTTTAAAAGGTGCCAACCTAGTCGAATGGATCAATCCTGGGATCGTGCTCGCTTGCCATTGCCATCCCCGTGCAGAGGCATGTAGGGCACATTACCTGCAAATATTCAGCAAGAACTAAATGAAAAATATAGTTTCACTTGCTCTTCAAAGAATGTGAGAGCAATAATAACAACAACAACAATATCAAGCCTTTGTCCCACTACGTGGGGTCGGCTACATGAATCCTTTTTCACTATTGTATCCAGTTAAAAGTCAAATTCTCATTTAAATCTAATAAAGAAAAATCATTTCTAATATTTTCTAACCAAGTCTTTTTAGGCCTACCTCTACCTTTCTTAACATAAGTCAAATCTAATATCTCAACCTTCCTAACCAGGTCATCGAAAGGCCTATGTTTGATGTGACCAAACAATCTAAGGCGACTCTCTAATCTTATCTTCCACTCTTCATGCATATGCTCATTTTCTATCCTATCTCTAGGGGTAAAGCCACTCATCCACCTAAGCATCCTCATCTCTGCAACACTTAACTTAGTATTATGATTCTCTTTTAATAGTTAACATTCGGCACCATAAAACATTGCAGGTCTCACCATCATCTCATAAAATTTTCCCTTAAGTTTGAGGGGGACTTTTCTATCGCACAAACCCGATGCATTCCTCCACTTCAACCATCCAACTTGAATTCTACTGATAATATCCCCATCTATTTCACCATCACTCTGAACAATAGATCCAAGATATTTAAAATGTGTACTCTTATTAATGACTTAATCGCCCAAAGTCAATGGCATTGTAATTTCGTATAGCCTCCCCAATATTTTTCTACCCACTCTTTTCAAGATTGGGAAATGCTTTGCTAGCCAACCTAGACCCAAAAAGAAGCCTTCAGGATCATTTGATAGATGGCAAACTGTGCATGTCAATTGTCTATCAATGTAACACCCAAGAGGTTTCTTCTGGGCTCTATTTTGAGCACCACAGCATTCACTCTTACTACATTTTTACCTCTCCTACCGCAATGATTAACCGACCTACCGACCTGTAAAGCGTTCCCATGATATTCATGTTCTTTTTTATTTTACAATCTCACAATACCCATTCTCACTCCGGGAGTTCATTGAGCTTGCTTTTTAGTGGTGACTCGGTCTGAATTTGAGCTCAGCATAGGGCTATGAAACAAGACCAAGCTCTGTTGCACCCCCACATGCACGTATGATGCTTTCAAAGAAAGTATTTGACTATAAAGCGTAGATTCAAGAATTGAAGTAGAGCTAGGGGATCTCTGGGAGAAGAACAATAAAAAGGACATGTGACTGAAAGTACATTTGAGGAAACAGCTGTTTTTTTTTTTAAGATAATTATAAAACTCTTGTGAAAAAACAAATTTTTTTTAAATTATTATTATTATTATTTTGAGAAAGTCATATTACAACTTCCATATTACTTTTTAGCATATCTAACTGTAAAAAATAACTTCTCTCAAGCAGTACAACAACAACAACATCAAGCCTTTATCTCACTACGTGGGGTCGGCTACATGAATCCTTTTTCTCCATTGTGTCCTACTAAAAGTCAAATTCTCGTTTAAATCTAATAAAGCAAGGTCATTGATAATATTTTCTAACCAAGTCTTTTTAGGTCCACCCCTACCTTTCTTAACACAAGTCAAATCTAATACCTCTACTCTCCTAACCGGGTCATCAGAAGGCCGCCTTTTTATGTGACCAAACCATCTAAGGCGACTCTCTCTAATCTTAAGCAGTAGTCAAACAAAAATAAAACCAGGTAAAAGTTGCCCCTAAAAGGCCCTAAAGGTCCACTTGGAGTGGCTACAATTATTTGCAAAAGATAAAATTATTATGAAAAAGCAGATTTTTTTAAAACTGTTGTAGATATTATAAACATTTTCTTTTTTAAAAAAGTTGAATGCAATAGCTAAATGCAAATGTGCCAGCAGCCTGAGTTACCAAAAAAACTGTCAGCAAATGAATCAAAAGAGTAATCATGACCATAGTACTAGCGCTGATAGCAATTGGTTACCGTAAAAGTTAGAATCGATGATCTATGTATAGTTGTGATTTGCGAAACTAGAATCATCAACCATCTGTTTCTAATCCTAAATTTCATTTCCACTTATCCACTGAAAAAACATAAAATGGCAATTGCCGCTAAATTCAATTAATAATTAAAAGATCCGGAGACAATTGCGAGGACTGGGATGTCAAAAAAGCTCAATATTAGTGAAAGCTCATAATCTTATAACAACAACTAATCACTTTCAGCTTGTTTACTTAAAGGCTACTGTAATATAAAAAAAACAAAAACTTTCATGCTATCAGAGCCGTCAATTTGAAAAAATTTGATGCATTTGATAGTCATCTATAAAACTTGTTAATTATGTTTATATTTAGCTTGATGATAAATGAGCCATAAAATGAAAATAGATTTTGAGCTTGTTAGCAAATTTGAGTTCTTTCATATTTCGCTAGATAACAAATTGAGCTAAACAAATTCCTAATTCGTTTATATGTTTGTTGGCTTACACTCCTAGCTAGACCATCAAGTCAATGGATTTCAGCTGGGTGATTAATAATGATGATGGAAGACTTCAAGGAATAAGTTCACGGGACTAGGACAGAATACGGTAATAAAGGTTTCATTTGGGACGGCTTTCATAGTGCTTCTTATAGCAGCTTTCTAGTAATATTTTACTAGAAAGCTGCTATAAGAAGCACTAAGAAAGCCGTCCCAAATGAAGCATAAATTTGAATGACTACTTACTTTTCCAGAGCCAGAACAGTTTGAACATCTTGTTGTCCTAGGTGGTGATAAAGGCTGATCACCATCATTAAATGTAGCAACAGGTTCTACCAAGACCAGAGCCCCAGTGCCTGAACAGCGAGCACAAGCAAGATAGCCTGCATCAACCGAGAGTTGACAAAAAATTACAATGATAAGAGTTAATTGAATCAAACATAAACCTCTTAACTCGCCAAATATATTAACTACAGTTTTTATTTCCTATGTAAACTTGCATAAGAACAGATCCGGAAGAAGCACAGTGAAGATTAATGACATACTGCCCTCCTAATGACATAAGAAACGCCTGAATTAGCTGTGGAAGAAACCATTTGAGACGGAAGGCAATGTAAAATATATCAAATGCCAACAAAATTTGCAAATTTCTTTTCATTAGATAACCGGAATCATGATCTTTAAGGGATGTAAAATAAATAAATAAATAAATAAAATAAAAAAAATGATCTTTTAGGGAAGTAAGAAACTAATAGCCCGGCATTTATAAACAATTAAGGCTATACGTAAAAGAAAATAGAAAGTAATAGCATTGCTAACATTATCGTGTGATATGGTTTTATCTAACGATATTCCATATCAAACTTTCAGATAGAACATTCTTCTAAGTAAACGAGTTATTAAGATAATTGTAGAAATTCAGCAAGGAAAGCCCCATTGCAGCCCCATGTCGATTCCTCATCAAGCAATCCGTGTGGTATGATTAAATAACTGTAAGATGAATGTTCACCTTAGTAATATGTCAATGCTTGTTCTTCCTTACATGACTCGATTAATTCTGTTTTAATTTTTTCAAGATTTTGGAACTAGTAATGTGATTTGTTTAGCATCTATAAATATGTATCTTTTCTACAGTTTGAAGTAAAAAAATAAGTTCTTTCATATTTTTTTATCTTTAATTTTAGCATGGTATGAGAGAGTGATTCATATTCTCTAGATCATCTTAAGGGGTTATACAAGCCTGCTAAGCTCATCATGAGGATTCCGTATTGTAAATTTATCACAAATCACCTAGCTTGCCTCAATTCCACAAGAGCTCGCCTCAAGAAGCTGCAAGGGATTGCCTACTTCCCAGGGCTTGTTGAGAGGTCACCTCGCCAAAATCTTCTCAAATCCAGCTCGCCGAGCATTTTTAGAGCTTGCTGAGAGCTCACCTTGTTGAACTCACCTTATTGAACTCACACCGGATTCAACTCATTGACAATTTCAACTGCTCGATAAGGCATGATCGTAAATATTGTTAATTCAAATACTGAAAATACACAATTATGGATTATAGACTCAGAGCATTAGATCATATGATTCGGGATGTCTCTCCATTTTCTAAAATATATCTATATTCTAAAGAATACTCTGTAAGGATTACTAATAGATCATCATCTTTGGTGGGCTAGCTACAAGCATCAACATCTCAAATTTTGTATCCTTAAAAACAATTTTATTAGCTCCTAAACTTTGCTATAACCTCTGAACAATCAATAAAATTTCCAGGACTACGAATTCACAAATAAATTTTTCCATCCTTATTGGGAATTCCAAGATATGGTCTTGGATAGGATGATTGGCAATACTAAGGCGAATGTTAGACTCTACCACTTGAATGTTGAAGAAAATCCTAAAATCCTACGTTACAAATAAAATATGCTTAGTATATATCTTCTCCTAAGGAGAGTGTAATCATGCTATAACGCCTCCACCTTGGTTATCCAAGCTTTATGCGTCTTAAAAAATTATTTTCAACTTCATTTAAAAATGAGTAGATACATGAAAAGGTTGGTGTAGCTCCAGTGGAAGATAAGATTAGAGAGAGTCGCCTTAGATGGTTTGGCCACATTAAACGGAGGCCTTCCGATAACCATGTTAAGAAAGTTGAGGTACTAGATTTGACTTTTGTTAAGAAAGGTAGAGGTAGACCTAAAAATACTTGGTTAGAAAATATTAGAAGTGATCTTTCTTTATTAGATTTAAATGAGAATTTGACTTTTAACACGATGCAATGGCGAAAAAGGATTCATGTAGCCAACCCCATGTAGTGGGACAAAGGCTAGATGTTATTCTCATTTAAAAATAAAAATCTAAATTTATTTTAACGCGAAAGCTATCAACTATCAAAACACACAAGGAACATCTATCCTAGCTATCCCTATAAAACCTCTCAACCTTCTATCACTCATGTTAGCATTGGGGACTTTCTTATATGACCATTATCTCTAAGGTTAGGTAATTCATATCATTTATCGATGACCGTCTCTAAGGTTAGGTAATTCATATCATTTATCGATGACCGCACTAGAGCTACTGAATTTTCTTAATAAAAGACAAATATGAAACTTATTACATTGTTAAGAGATTCTCTCTTTATAAAAATCGTATTCAAGCTTCAAACCTACATCCAAGTCCTCAAGACTGACAATGAGAAAGAATATTTTCATTTAAGTATTAGGGACTACCTTCTTTATTGTGCATCCAAGCTCTTAGATATATACTTCTCAATAAAATGGAATGGTTAAAAACAATATTGAGAGGCTATCCTTACAGTTGCATATCTCATTAACTAATTCCTACAAGATTCTCAAATTTAAAACCCCTTTGACAAGTCCTCATCTAAATATATCTCACAAATAGACTCATCTCCACTATTCCAACTAAAATCTTTGAGTGTTGAGCTATTGTTCACATCCCTCCTCATGAATAAAGCAATTTAACAAAAAGTCATTAAGTACATCTTTATTTGTCATTCTCCTAACCAACAAGGATACAAATGTTACCATCTTAAAAAGATTAAGTTCTACACTTCTATGAACATAATAGTTTTTAGAAATCAGCTATTCTTTCTTAAAACTGGAGGAAAATTTTAACATTTTCATGAATATTAGTGTTATACTCATCCCACTGACCTCCAACCTCTATCTCCCCTTAATCTCCTTGAAGCTCACAACCCTGGCCACATTAAAAATTCACAAGTAAATATGTAATTTTTCTTTTTTACTTGCATACTTTTTAGTTCAAGAAAATCATATCGGTATGAGGGTTATTTCAGAGGAAAGAAGGCCTATTAATGATGTACATAAAAGCGTTCAAGACCTCACATATCATTTCATCGATGGATAGTTTTAGGTTGAATTGTAACTATAATAGAGCTTGACTTCTTCTTTCTTCTCTTTTTCTTGGGTGTATTGCAAAACCCAGTAGCACTTCTAGCCTTTCTTTTATTATTTTATATTGTGGTGATGATTAGTGCGTTTATATTGATTGCTCGCTAGAACTGCATTTTTTATGTTTATTTAATTGTTTTGCTTGAGGATGACCCAAACTTATGTTCTTATTAGGCTCATAAGATATTAAATTTTCTATCTTAAATAACTAATTGAATTAAAAAAAATAACCATAAGGAAAAGAGATTTTCTTTCAAAATTAAATACATGACTTTTTCTAAAACCACCTTTTCAAAATAATAATTCAACCCCCGCCCACCAAAGATGGATCCTAAAGTCAATAAGAAATGTTACCTTGATGCATAATCCAATGAGTTAGCGTATAAAATTTACTTTCTAAAATAACTTAGAGTTAGATTAAAAAAACCCTTCATAAGCATATTATGTCCACTCATGATCGAGCCGTTTTTGCTTCAATAGCAAGGTTGTAAGACATCTTTCTTATATATCATTTTTATCGAAAAGATGGAGAGCCAAGGGGGAAGGGGGGGAGGAATAGGTAAAGACAAGCTCATAAAGTGATGTTTCATTTTCAAGGAAAGAGTAAAAGGAAAAAGGAGAAAGCTTAATGGGATTTCCAAGGAGTTGAAAATAAATGTATTTATGATGGAAGCTGCTTTGAAAGTTGTGGGAAAACAGAAAGTTGGATAGCCCAAAAGAGAAAAAAACACAAGAAAAAAATCCAAAGATATGAAAACCCATCAACTCAATAATAACTTCAAAAAATTACGACACATTCCAAAATACAAAGTATCCTCACTACAATCATCTCATAAAAGAAAATACACAAGGATCCAGTGAATGCAACATTAAAGTCCCAAAGGTCGGCAATACCAATGATTATAAAGTTTGAATAAAGTTTGAACTCCACATCATTTATAACCCCAAAACTTGAAACCAAATAACCTCTAAAGGAAATCAAAAGCTCTACAACCTGAGAACACCCTCATTCCCATTTCCAATATAAAGATGATGTTGCAAAATTAATTATAGTTCCTCAATGCTGGTCGATTACAGTAGTGATTTTAAATAGAAAATTTATGATATAAATCTTATACGTAACCATTTAACTCACTTAAAGTATAATACTGTTGATTTCAGTCATTCATAAACAAACCCAGAGCTACTGTTCATGATAAAATGTTCATGCAAATTACCAGTTCCAATACAGTATTTGCATCTCTTCTGCTCCTGTTGCTTGACATTATTGACCTCTACCACCATCAAGGCTGAGATAACTCCAACTGCACCACCAGAGAATGATGCTACTATTGGATCAACCTGACTGCATATCATAAAATTAAAAAAAAAAAAAATTAGTGTGTTGAATAAAACTGACATTTGAAAAAGATACAATTATCAGATAAGTACACGACATAATGGCATAAAAAACACTTTCTTTTAATTTATTATATTTTTACGTTGAATATGCTAGACAATGCAAGATAAAGCAAACCCTAGGAGTTTAATAGATTTTGCTATGTTAACATTTGTAATGACCGTGACAATTTATAAATATGAAAAAAAGAAAAAGAATAAGACATTAATCAAGAATAAATAATAGGTTAACTTAGGTTATTTTTAGAAAATAACATTACGATTTACCTCAACTGCATTGGCAAATGCATGCTGCGAATAAAGTCAGCATAGGATGTGCCACCTAATCCAAGTTTTAGCTCCAGCTGAAAAGGTAAAGAAATAAATCAATTACATTCATGTTTCTCAAACAAAAGCAAGCTAGTAACAAAGCAAATACAGAAGTCTGATATAATGTTCTAATTTAATTCAATATCTCAAGTGATTTCTATAGAAACCTTGCACAAAACTCATGACTGCTGTTTACATGGCGATTCAAGCATAGAAGATATGCTTCACACATTTCATCCTAAGTAATTTGATTAAAAGGTACTAAAAAGTAGGGGTGTCAATTCGGGTCGACGGGTCGGGTTCGGGTCAAACCCGAGTTGACCCGGATCTAAACAGGTCAACTCGAACCCGACCCATTTTTTGCAAACGGATCGGACATGTCAACCCGGACCCAACCCGCGCGGGTTGCCAGGTTGACCTGACCAAACCTAGATTTAGTAGATTTGGCTGAAGTAGCACGAGCTGAGCGCCTGGACCAGTCCGCGAGTGCGGGTAGCGGAGTCCGAGTCACGAGCAGAAGGAGTCCATGGGATCACGAGTGCGGGATCGCGAGTACGGACGGAGTCCGAGTCGCGAGCGCGCGGCAGCGGGCAGAGCCAACGGGTTTGCGAGTGCGGATGGAGTCGTTCGCAGGACCACGAGTGCAGGCAAAGTCGCGACTCGCGAGCGCGCGGCAGCGGCACAGTCCACGAGACTGTGCGAGTGCGGGCAAAAATCCAGAATTGACTCTGACTTTGGGGTCATTGTCAGGTTGATTTTGGGTTTTCGAGTCAACCTGAACCCGACCTGTTTTGAAACGGGTCAAAAATCCAAACACGAACCCGACTCATTTGCTAACCGGGTCAACCCGAACCCAGATTTTTCCAAGTCTGGTTTCGGGTCGTGTCAAAAATTGACACCCATACTAAAAAGGAGAGAGACCAATGTAAAAGAGTGAAAGAATTTGCAAAATATAGGAGTTGAAATAACAAAAACTTAAAGAGTGTATGATCACTACCATAAGTTTGAAGTGCTAATACAATTTTAGGAAGTTGTTGGCAACTGCGTAATCTCAGCTAAATCCAAGTTCGTGACTTTCTATACTGTATAGATACAGTAAGTCTATGCATACACATTTATTAAAAAACTTATATTCTGAGAACAAACTCAGTACTTCATTTATTCAGAAGCTTAACAGCTAAACACCATTAAAAAATATGTAATTAATAATCATCCCTAGTTATAGCATACGTGACAGCATGTCCCAATAATTCATTGGTCTTGTTCGCTTGGAGCCACTCTGTTAAAAAAAGAATCCACATTTGGCATCTAAAGCGGTCATGCAAGCTGACATTCTTTCATTTGATCAATACTCTCAATTTAGTATGGCAGAGCAGGATGAAGTAAGAAACCGCCCAAATTTGTCCACTGCTTTTCAATTTAGGTCTACAAAAACTTTCAAAACCAAGTAAAAACTGCATGCCAAGCTATTTATTTTCTCCTGATAATTGTTAATCCTTGTCTACTAGATATATTCAACAAAAATTAAACAGGTACAAATCTACTTAAAAAATCAGATATCTTTAGTTGCTTTACATCTCCAATTCCCCAACTTACAACAATAACAAAACTAATTGACCTCAAAAAGAATGCATCTCCCATGCATCCATCAGAAAACCATAATGTTCATATAATGGAGATTACTAGAAGAATATTGAATAACAGTGATGACATGCTTAAAAAAAAATACACTATTTTAGTGCCAAGCATGCTTGTTCCTTCTAATAATTCACACTCTGAATGGAGCTTCTAGTAGAACCCTTCAATATTAAAAGAGTGTCGTAGTAAAGAGAAATTTTGACTATAAAGAGACCATTATACAGTAGGTAAATTACCATCTTGCATGGTTGAATGATCAGTCAAAATGTCCAATGAAAGAAATTATAACCTAAAGATGAGAGTGATAATATCACTTACAGTTGGCGCAATGAGAGCGCCGAAAATAATAATACCGCCAATCAGAGAGAAGCACGTTACGTAGTACATCCTCATATTTGCAGGCGTCTGTTTGTTGCTAAATTGTTAGAAACTCGGTAGAAATTTTTATTACTTTAAACACTAGAGCTGATGAATAACAGGATAAATGGCTTACCAAAGGAGGCAAAAATGGAATAAAAGATGGGAAATCAGGCAATTCATTTTCATGTTCCTCTTTCGGAATGCCGAGCTCAGCATTCTTTATTCTCTGTTGTATCCTTAACCTACGAACCTGAAAACATGAATGAGGAGAATAATATTAGGGCCTTTAAAAAATTAACCCATACACAACCTTCTTAAGCTAGAGAAAAAGGAAGACAAGACAGGGAAGGCAAGACTCCTCAAACTGTTCAGTTCTTAAGCAAAAGCCTCACTTTGATGAGGAAGGACAATAAGGGCAGACCTCTTCCATGTGCAAGAAGATTTTATTTCGACGGCTTCTGATACTATCTTGAATTTCTTGTAATTCCATTTTGGCGAAGTCTTGAACTGTTTCAGGACCTTCTATAATACAGAAGCTGCAATTGTGCTCAAATAATTAACATGAGCACCTTAGTTCCAGTTTGTGAGGATATAACAGAATCTGAATACTTCAAAAAATATTATAAAAGAACATTCTAATCCCACGACTTTCATAAAGAGAACTTGCGCTATCTTCTCAGTAATATCATAGTTCAGGCATGCAGCAAAGTAACCACCATCTTAGATTTCTTAAATTTAGCTTCTTTCAAAACCTTCCAATAAATTTAAACAGACACAAGTAAGAAAAGAAAAAGATTTATAAGCTCTCCCAGAAAACGCAATCATCAAAAAGAAGCCGGCGAAAGCGGAAGTGGAGACCCTTGTGAGTGAAATTGAATTTCATAGGAAAAGTACTGCCACTAACAGAAATTGGGTTTGCATCGTTAGCGCGTGAGATAGAAAGAGAGAGATTACCCGGCAGGGTTTTTATCCGTGGAGTCACCGGTGGCATCGGAGTCAACGGAAGAAGAAGAGAACGAATCGGCATCGCCTGAAACAAGCACGCGCCATCTATTGGCGAGCTGACTCTGGGCGATCCTTCGCCTCCAGCTCGAACGATGATGTGTAGGAGCAAGTGAAGCTACAAAGTACTGAACAGAGCACATCATGTTATTCTAAATGATTTCTCCGAGAAATAAACCTAATCCAGAGAACTTCGATCTCTATAGGCGATACAGGCTCGCCGGAGATGGAAATGGAAGTGGCGGAAGCAAAACGTTGATGATGTGACCTGAGATATGTGGCATCATCGCAGGAGAAGTGGGTTTTGGCTGCTTGGGCTTCCAATCTTTTTTATTGGTCGCCGAAAAAAATTATAGTGGAAGATGGCAAAGATACTATATATTAAAAATCATATAAAAAAGATAGATTTGATTTTCAATGGTGATATATCTGTTATTTTATTTCTTAAAATATATGCTGTCAGCAGCCTAGGGGTGTCAATAATTGACACGATATGAAAATTCAACTTGGGTTCGGTGCCCGCACTACAGTGCACCTAGCAACGCACCCTCCCGCGTCTCGCGCGCCCTCTCCAACGCACCCGCGCACCAGCGCACTCGCCCACCAGCGCACCCGCCCGCACACTCACCGCGCCAGCCAGCCCGTGTAGCGTCCGCTCTCGACCACGCCCGCGTCCGCGCTGGTCTCCTTCCCGGGTCATGTCGGGTCAACCCGGCAACCCGTCGGGTTGTGTCCGATTTCGAATTTTCGACCCGTTTACCTACTCGAGTTGGATCCATGTTCAAATTTCTAACCCGTTTGAACCCGGGTCAGTTTCAGGTTTGACCCGAACCCAACCCGTGACCCGAAATTGACACTCCTACAGCGGCCTGAGAAATTATTTCAGACATAGCTCTAAGTCTTTGGACTTCATCCGACGATCCGACGACCTGACGATCTAATTTAATGAAACTATAATATTTTTTACATTTTTTTTAATTTATCGTGTGACCCAACGACTTGACCTGATTTAGAGCCAAAAAATGACTTTTTACTAAGAGAGCCAAGACATTTCACTGAAAAATTCAAAAACTAGGTGCTTCAATTTCTCTTGTTTCAAGTGCTCTTCATCTTCTGAAGTTCATTTTTTTGCTCAAGATTTTCGTCACAGAAGCAATAGCTAAGGTCAGTTTTATGTTTTCTGAAAATAAGCATTTTATCACGAGATATATTGGTTCTATTTGTTCTGTAAATATCACGTAATAATTTTTCTTATATAATAGAGTTGTTAGGTTTTATGTTTAGGGTTTAGAACATTTGTATGTTGCTGTAAAACGTTTTCTCATTAGATTTAGAAATAGGTTTTGTATATTGTGTACTAATGTATATCGCTGTGTCCTCTTTGTCATTCGAATAATCAAGCTAATAGAACTTTTCCAGTGATGTTTTTGTTCACTTTGTAAACTTGTTACTAGTCTACATTTGACATATACTATTGTGGATCGGTGTGTACTGTTTTCTATTCGCATGATGAAGTTAATAGTACATTTCATTTTTATTTTTTTTCATTTTCATACTTGTTAATGTTGTCTACCTTTACTATATATCATTGTGTATTGTTTCCTATTTGCATGATAAAGTTAATGGAACATTTTCAGTGATATCTTTATTCATTTTTTATACTTATTTTTACCGTGTATCGTTGTGTAGCATTCTCTATTTTCATGATGAAGTTATTAGAACATTTTCAGTCATTTTTTTTTCATTTTCTATATTTTTTAGTATTTTAGACAGTTGTTGTGTACTATTGTGCACCGCTGTGATTTGTTATCCATTCGCATCATAGAACATTTTTAGTAAAGTTTATGTTCATTTTCTATTTTTTTACTATTATGTACGGCTACATTAGCGTCTAGTTCTTAATCACTACACCTAATTTTGCAAGGATATGTTCCAAAGATAACTTTTCGTTGCAAAACTTTAACATTTAGAGATATGTGCGATCATTTTGTTGATACTTTTGGCCAAGCTTTTTTGGGTAGACTAAACCAACTACACATAAATCACTTTTTGTGTTTGCCTTGCTTTCGTCAGAATGTTTCCCTGGCATACATGTTGTCACTGTGGGATATCTAGAAACAGTGTTTCGTCATCAAGGGGCGGCGTAAGTTACCATTCATTGCAGCTGAAGTTGTTTTGATCATAGGGATGCCCAATAGAGGAACTAAATTCGAGCTGGAAAGTGTTAGAATCACTGGGAAATCTTCAATTGCTATCAAACATGAGATGATTAATATCAATGAATTAACTCAACTTCCCCAACTTGTGAAGAAATTTATCGTTTTCTTGTTATTCAACCAATTCTTTTCACTATATAACTATCGAACCCCAATTAAGATCCTTACTATAGCACGTAATGTAGATGAATTTACATCTTATAACTGGCCAGCATCCATTAGGGATTTCTTAGTGGCTAAGTTTGATATGATTGCTAGGAAGTTTGCCAAAGGCAGACCACTGAAATATATGAATGGATTTGTACATATTGTAATTACGAGTGCATCCAACATTTTAGAACATGTGCCTTGTATGAATTTATTTTATTGGCTAACAAACTTTGTTAATTAAATGTAGATTTAATTTCTAGAGCATACATCAATCCGGCCACACACCATTGGATAATAACTCCATATCTAATTTTCTTCATTGGGACAATGAGATTATGTATAACGACGTAGAGGTCTCTGAATTATTTGCTGATCTTTAAGATGTACAAGCACTCATGCTTCTTTCCACTTTATGTTGATGTAGGGAGAATTTGATTATTATGTGAGGTCATTGTGACAAATATTATTTTGCAAATATTTCATACTTTTCAAAGAGTCACCAGAAAGGAAGAACCCCCCCCCCCCCCCCCCCCCCCCCCCCCCTCTTCTACTTCTTCCCCCCCTTTATTGAATTTGTTTGCTTTGAAATGCCATGACAAATATTATTAGTGGTCTCGTTACGGTGTGTTGAAAGAATTTTAATGTTAAAATAATTCTTATTGAATGTTGTTGACCACTTATTATTGATCATGTAAAGTGTAAAACCCCTCAAAAGTTCATTTTTGTGAGTGCTGTTAGTCCGGACGAACTGGCCTTAGTACGGGACAAACTGAAGAAAATTGTGAAAAATCTGTATGGTTCGTCTGGACGAACCTATACGAGCATGGACGAACAGTCGGGATGAAATTTGTCCAGAGAGCAAATCGTCCAGGAACGAATACACTTCGTCTGGACGAGATTTGTCTAGAGGGCAAATCGTCCCAGGACGATTTTGGATCGTCCGGGACGATCTGAATGGATATATGTTGGATTGAGATATTTTGGATCATTTTTAAGAGAGAGAAAAGCTGGAGAGAGAAAGAGAAGAAAAAAGGCTTGGTTTTGGAGGTCGCGGAGCGATTTTCATCCGACGACGCAGTTAGAAGAATTATTTATCTCGTAGTAAGGACTCCGAATCCTATTTCTGATTTCAAAGATTTTGAGTTTTGGTATTTCTCTGCACAGTTTTGTGTTTCCGTTGCTGAAAAACGTGCATATCTTTATATTGTCTAAACTTTTACCGCGTAACTTTTGGTATGTTTCTGAGATGATGTTTTTGCACGATTTGAGTATTTTCTGAAAAGTTTTCACCGGATATTTTGGATTATGTAAGATTTTTATTGAATAGTAAATTATCCGGATGTTGGATGTTGAAAAATATTGTTTCAGTACAAGTAAAGCTTCGAAATATTGTTTTATACAATTTCTGGTAATTTGGTAATTTTCTGAAATTGTGTGTTTTGACTCTATTTGGAATTTCTGTCAAATGTACGATATTTTAAGGATTCTCTTCATTTGAGCTAATTGTGTTTAATGATTGCAATGCATTACTGATATGTATATGAATGTGGATATATGCTTGAATATACTACTATTACTGAAAGTCAAGTAAAGACTGGTTGAACCGTTGGTTGGAGATTGATAGACCTGATAAGATGGTGGGCCGACGGGCTTTCCTTTAAAAAAGGGTTTGATGTTATCCTCTATTGATCACGTGATACAACGATTGAGAGTTATAAGGAGATTATTCTGCCGACGAGCAAGAGTGACGACTCTTATTGAGCCAACGGATATAATGATACAACGATACATCGATATTCAAAGATTGAAAAACGTCGTAATAACCATGTCTTTTACTTGTTGAGTAAAGGCTGGTTGAACCGTTGGTTGAAGATTGACCTGTCAGGATGGTGGGCCGATGGGCTTTCCTTTAAAAAGGGTTTGACGTTATCCTCTATTGATCACGTGATACAACGATTGTGAGTCATAAGGAGTTTATGTCGTTTATGCCGACGGGCAAGGTTGACGACTCTATTATAGCCAACAGATTACTAACATACTAACCTTGAAAAACGCCTTAATAGTCAGAGATTGTACTTGTCGAGTAAGACTATTGTATTGTATTGCATGTTTAAAGTATTGTTCGTATGCTTACCTTATGGATTTACTGATATTGAATTGATCTATTGTTACTGATTGATTTATTGATTACCGCACGCAGTTATTTATACCGACGGATTTATTAATTTTATTGATATTGAATGGATTTACTGACGGATTTATGAGTTTACTGTCACTGTGCGATTTCATTGATATTGCATTGATTCATTGATACTACTGATACCGATACAGATACCGATACCGATACCGATACTGATACTGATATCAATACTGATACTGATACTGATACTGATACCGATACCGATATCGATACTACTGATTCATTGCATTGATCTTCTAGCACGTGATACACCGAATACTGACCGATACATGTGATACATCGAACATGTGATATATAATACGATTTTACTATATTGATTGATTTTAATTGTATTATTGATTTATTGATTTGATTTCAACTGTTCTTACGATGTATTAAATTGATCGTTTTATGTGATTTCATATCGATTGATATTATTGTCCGGAATTGATTTCTTTATTGATCTGATTGATTCTAGGATATGATTGGGTGATGTTAATCGTATTTGATTTGACGGATTTACAATAAAACGTACTGATTCATTTACTAAGGATTTATCGTTATTGTATATATTTACTGTTGCTACACGATTTCACTGTTATAGCATAATCGTTCATGTCGTCACAGGATTATTATTGATATTGATACATACGCTGCTACTACTGATTCACTGTACTGACATTATACATGTGATATAGATTACTGGATTGCATATGATTTATTGAGCAAGTGATATTGAATAACTGGAATTGTAAGTGTATGTTTTGATACGATTCTACTACATTGCTTTGACTGATGTTATAGATAAGACGACTATTGT